CCCCGAGCCTCCCAGCCAGGTGAATGGGTGAAAACGAGAGRGAAATGGGCAACTGGCGGTGGAAACAGAAGCGCGGACGGCTGTAGTTGTGGCTGGAAGCCCCCCCAAGGAATCGGCCGCCAGCCGATTCGTCCCCAGCCCCGCAAATCCGCGCAGTTTCAGCCGAGCCCTGCATGGAAATGCGGAATAATGCGAGGAATCCCGTTTCCCCCCCCAGTTACGGAGTCATTTTATGGTACTTCTTGAAAACCCCGGTGYCGGCGCGTGTGAGCGGCAGGGGTAGATGGGGTCCTGCTTTTGCCAACGCCGGTGATTGCAGGAATTCAGGTATTTGCTGCCATTCCCTGGGGATAAGTGCGCTGCCAAGCCGTGCATGCCTTCAGCTACTCCTGGTGTATTTTAAGAAACACATGAAACTCTGGTGCTGGATGACTCATAGCATAGCAGTCCCATTAATGCAGTTAAACACAAAATGCATATGCCAAAAAGGGATATCCCAAGGGCTGCATTTTCCTTTTTTTTTTTTTTCCTTTCTTTTCAAAAATGTGCTTCTATTAATGCCTGCAGATAGTTCCTGAGCAATTCACCTCAGCTCCCAAAGCAGGCGCATTCCTTTCGTCCCTCTCATGGATACAACATGCCTGATTATCCATCAGACTTGTTTTACTTTTCCTTTCCTGGATTTTTTTCCTATAATTGGGACATCACTGCAGGTTCCATTTAGTTGGTAGGATTTTGCATCGTTAAACTGCTCACACCCAGCCCCAGGCTCTGCCTTCGAGACACCACAACCTACGGATTCCTGAGCTTCATCCTTAACCCCCTCTCCCCATCCCACATCCCTAAAAGTTCTCTAAAATACTCGGAGTGTTAATATAATGAATAAATATGTAGTGGTCACAGTGGGTTAATCATTAAGCTAATTAGGGATGCTCCCTTTGTTGGTTTAATAGAACTTAAGTTTGGGGTGTGAATTTCCAGAGCGGGTCCACACACGGCATCCACTCCCCATCAGTCCCTCCCGGCACACGCGGCAGAGCCCAGCGAGAAGGGATTCCCCATCTGCTGCCTTTTCTCTTTTTTTTTCCTCGCATCTTGGCTGATTCGAGGAAAAAGAGAAAAAAAATACAGCAAGAGGATACCAAGGATGACTGTCCAATGAGCCTGCACAGCGCGGTGGTACTCGGAGGACTGAAACGCATCCCTCTTTTAGCCATATACGTCAGTGCTCGCATGCGAGCCCGGCGGGGGAGCGGGCGTTGTGGCCAAGCAGGGCAGAAAACACGGAGGAATTCACGGGAGCACAGGACTGCAGAGCAGTCTGCAGCCTGCACGTGATGGAGAATTCCTGCAGGATGCGGGGCTGGCACGCGCTTCCCACGGCGGCGCAGACGCTCCGCAGGCCTCGAAGCATCCAGCCGTATCCTCCCTCATTAGTTTCCTCTTGAAATCAAAACATCTTCCCCCTTTTCCCTGCACGAGCCTCCGTCATTCATTTCTCCCCGCTTCCCAGCAAGATTTTTCTCATGCTTAGCATACGTGAAGGAAGAAATTCAGCTCTGCTCGAGGAGCTGGCAATGAGCCCCAGGCGTCTTTTATCATYGTTTTGAGGGCTTTGGAGGTACCCTGGGCATTGCTACTGTGTCTGGATACCTTCTGCACCAGCTTTGTAATGGGTTCCCAGGGAGCCCAAGGACTGGTGGTGTTTGGGAGTGGGTTGGGATGATCCATGGGGCCTCTTTGCTCCCTTACAGGGTGTTCGAAAAGGAGAGTTCCGAGGGCTGCCATAGGGTACGACAGGAGCTGAAGGGTGGTGCTGGCAGAGCCCAGCTGTGGTTTGAGTGTGAACGGGTTAGTCGCCCTCCCAAACGAAGCARGGCAGCCTGGCGCGGCTCAGACGGATAGTCCTATAAAACACTGGGACAAGCTCTGAGATGTCCCAGCAAAGGGAATGGTCCTGCCCAGCATATGTTGGCTAGGGTCACGGCAAGGTGGGTTGATGTTACCCAGAGCAGTTGTGGAGTCTCCTTCTCTGGGGATCTTCCAAACCCGCCTGGATGCYGCYCWGTGCCCCGTGCTCTGGGTGTCCCTGCTGGAGCAGGGGGTTGGACTGGGTGATCCCTAGAGGTCCCTTCCAACCTCAACCATCCTGTGGTTCTGTGATTCCTCTTCCACACATACATATCTTTATTTTTAAAACAGATGAGCCCTGCTATCGCACCTGCTAGATGAAGACTGAAGAAGCTGCAGATATTTTTGCTGGTCATGCTTTCACATGCTTTTCGCATTCCCCTTTCCTGATGTATTGCTTTATTTGAGGGAATTTTTCTTACGTGGTATTCAAGCATCTGCCCCTGCCTGCCCTCAGCCGGTCAGCTGCTTTTCCTCCRAAGCTCACAAAATTCCCTCTGCTGCTCCACTTCTCTGACCCTCTATGTCTGTAACTGGAACAGCCGGAGGCAATGAGAATTGTGTAACCGTCTCCCCACGTCCCAGGTGCTTGGGACAGGTCTGGTTACTTTGATAAAATGTCTCTTGGGATACCTAGAGTAAATCTGTATTAGATTAGGCCACTTATAAATAAACTAGCTGCTTGCTATGGGAAGGAATTAAAAACTCATCGTTTCAGTTACCAGATGAGAAGAGTCGTGACACACAAATATTTCACCTTTATTTTACACATAAGCTCAAGCCATGTAACGATATATTTAAACAACTAYTAGATTTAAAGCCAGCAATTTAAAACCAGCAAATGTATTGTCTATAGCCTACTGCAGTGGAATCGACATGCCTGGAAAAGGCTGTAAGTGCAGATGTGTGGCCAGGTGACAGAGAACATACAAGTTACGTTTTACCCAACAGAATCACATCTGGGATAGGCATGCAGCCATTCTGARGCATTCTGAAATTCAGTGGCAGATCCAAAATTAAGATATAAAACACATGACAGGCACGTAGGGACATCAAACAAGCTGAAATGTAATGATGTTCTGATGGCTCCCTTCAAACCTTCACAGAAGCTGTTCTGAGGCTTGCTCTTGCTGGGAAATCTGAATGATTCCCTTTTGATAAGCCCCTTGTTATCAAATCCAAGGAGTCTCATGAGCAGCACCTCCTGACTTGGTTTCTTTGTGCATTAAAGGCTTCTTCTGTTCCTTGAAGGATGTGTGAAGGCTCAGGTTTCCAACCTCAGACCCTGTTCTTCCTTCAGAGGCTGATTGCACAAGCGGGCAGTGAGTGTCTCGCCGCTTCCCTTGCGGTCTGGGAAGATGCTGTTCATACGGGTTTACAACAAACACTTCCTTGGGGCAGCTGCCCTTGCGGTGCGATTCATGCGAGCGCCTGCGGCCTCGCTCTTTGGGTCGGGACTAACATCCAACAAGGTGACTGAGGCTCCTCAGCCCCGCTGCTCCATCTTACACAGTGTTTGGAAATGATGAACACGGTTCCTGTCTACCTCGATGCAGGCCGTTAAGTCAATGGGATTACTCCTGCAGCACAAGGTTAAGCACATGCGTGGGTATTTGCTCTCTGGTTTATGCTCATTCCAGATTTGCACCTGATTAACAATCAATCTCATATTTTTACTTCTTAGGGTTATGGGCTGCCACACAAAATCTGGTTGCATCTCTGTGTATGATTCTTCTCTGAGCATTGTTGTGACCGTGTTCCTATCTGTGAGATGACATATATTGACAGCAAGGATTTTTTGATCAGATATAAAAGATTATGTAGGAATGATTACATAGGAATATATATATGTATGTGTGTGTATATTTATGGGTGTGTGTATATACATGTATGTATATATAAATATGTAAAATGCAATATATGAGTCATTATTTGCACTCAAAACTTTATATAAACAACAACAAAAAAGGTCCCTTTGAGGACTGATTCATTTGCAGAATAATCTATACCTGTAGTGAGAAGGTTAAAGGCTGCAGCAAAGAGAAAGGAATAACAATCCTCAGGCTGCTCTAAAACATTTTCCACCCCAAGAAAACCCTTGCTAGGCTTTACTCTACCTTTATTGTGTCACAGAGCACGACACATTAGTGAAGTGTCCAGTTAATGCTGCACAGAAGCTCAAGGTCACTCCTGGGAGGTTTTGTAGGCAGGATGGAGATGAAGACTCCCATGAAACTGCAGTGGAAGTTAATCAAGTTGCATGGTGGATTCTGAGTTGTGGCCACAGCACCAGAGCTGTTCCTGAGAAAAACGTCATGAGGTGCTTGTGACCGCAGGTAGGTGAGACCTTTGTCATCAGCCACTCATGAGGAAACATGAGTATATCCAAGAGGACATGGTCTAAAATAAGGCAGCGGGTTGGCCTTGGCCATTGACTCATCGGTATCACTTCCTGCAGCCCCTGCTTTTGCTCCGGGTATTTCTCAAGGGAGCACTGACTTAGCCCCGTCCTTTTGATTCTTCCAGAATGAATAAGATCACAGCTCAGCAGCGGTAATGATGAATATATCCTTGATTTAGAGCACTGTGTGCTCCTTTTAGCGCAAGTGTGCTAAATCTTCCATGAGATGCCTGCCTGATTAGCTTTTATCTTTATACTTTGCAGTCCCAGCAACTTGAAAACTTCAGAGAGAATCTCCAGATTTAAAGTGGAGAATTCTGTTTAACTGGGATAATCTGTTCAAGCGAGAGAACCGTGGTAATGGCTCATGCCTCAGGGTACCACTGAAAGCCTTTGCATATAGACCTATTTTGCCTTTTATTTTAATGTTTAATAACACATTTGTTTGGTCACTTGAAATGCTACATGGAACTTCTCTGGAAGAGACAATCGTCAGCGTGTTTCAGTGCTAACCATGTAGCTTTTCTGTGTTTGTAAAGCACACCTTATGGAAAAAAAAAAAAAGAGGGACTTTCTTTCCTTAAATATTATTGCAAAATTTTCTGACGTCAAACAATGAGACACAAATTACTCTGTGAACTGTTAACATATGCATGTTTACATATGATATCTTATAGCCAAAACAGATTAAGATTTGAAGCTTTAACTGCTGTTGAGTTTCCACTTCTGTGAATCATACAGATCAGCTTATTCATCATCAGACACTTCATTTTTTATTCTTTAACTCTTTCAAGCTATTTCTGTCGGGTGCAGAGTTTGTGCCCAACAGGGATCACATCTGGCTAAGGAGGCCACACTGTATAACAAGCCCGAACCTCTGCAAGTGGAAGAGCAGAGAGCTGCCAGTCAACTACAGCCACCCTCGTGAATTGATGGCATTTTGTAACTTCCATCACAATGTCACCTGTTGGGCACAGCAGCTTTCCCTGATTCCAGAGGCATTTCTGTCTTTCCGCCCAGTGGAGTGCCGGGTGGAAGTCAAGCTAATGATAAACAGTCCATCATATTTCAATTTCAGCTGGCAAATAACTTGTGAGCACCTACAATGAGAGATCAACTAGATGGCTTGAATTCCAGGTTCAGAGAAAGAATTTCACTCTTCCTACCTGGAGTTCCGTGGATGTCATGACATAAATTAGATGGAAAAAGGGCAAACATTTTGGGGAACAGAACTTCATGGGTTTCTACAAAAACAGGCAATTTTCTCCAGCAGTTGGAAATCTTTGCAGTGCATCACTGATTTGGATGGGAGTTATTTAAGTACAGATCTACAGATGTTGCTGCCAAAGACCAGCCCGTTTCTTGCAGCGGGGGATGGAGGGGATTTGGGCAGCGCTCTGCGGCTGCTGCTCACATTTCCAGACTCACACATGGTGCGTGGCCCAGGCTAGTGAAGGAAGCAGGTAAAGTCCTCTGTTGTGAGGCAGGAATGTAGGCATTCAAAGACACCTTTCCACTCACAAAGGAAATAAATGGGCGCTTGGCTGTTCCCTTSTCCTTGGAATTGTTGCTTCAGATCTGTTTGGTATTTCTCCCAGCTGCGTGATCTTAACCAGGCAACTCACCCATTACTTGGGGATTAGTTAATGCAGAGGGACTGAGTGTCCGCAGCTTCCACTAGGTCCCTCAACACTGCTAGGGGTTGAGCCCTCTCTCCCTTTAACATATGGCAAAGAAATGTAGCTGTCACACCTACAATCTCACTTACAGCATTACCCATTGAACAGGAGGGTGTCGATGGTACTGGCAGTGCAGTTATCCAAAGCAACATCAGTACAAACACCACACGGAGCAAACCCAACCCCGCTGCCACCACTCTGCAGCTACAAATTAATCYAGACATAATTGTGCATTTATTAGGTTTTGTGTTATTCGAAGGGCCATTCAATGTGAATTAGATTTGAGGTGTAAGGCTGGGGCTAACGGGAACTGTATTCATCTCTGCATCTGAAAACRTGGGAGCCTAATTAAATGAGACCCACGAGAGCAACATTAAAACACCTCTCTCAGGAACTGCAGATTGTTTAACAGGGCTTCACACGCTTCTGTTTCTGTGTGTCCTGCTCGCAAGAAAAACCTAAGAACCGTTTAGGACATTCTGCTTCATTATTAGACAACTAAAGCCCTTCCTTTTGATACTTAACTGCATTAGTTCCTGAAAATTATTGAATCATCCTCTGCAAAGTTATCAGCTTGAGACCTCAAATGTCTATAAAAGGGCCTGATTTTTACACATAAGCATACAAATATATACTGCTCCATATCCCTCCAGGCTCCTTCCCRTGTTTCAGACTGGGCTTTTGGGCTTCACGGCTCATTTGTGAACACTGTTGCATTTAAGGGTGGACCTTAGGGTTAGACCACATTGTAACAATCATCCAGTTAACTCCTATGAAATGTTTTGAATACAAAAGCCAAATGCAAATAATAATTTAGTTCCCGCTTTCTGCTATAAAATCAATTTACAGATGAATATTCTTCAATTACAAAATGGCAATTGCAGTTTGAAGTGGTTTGCACTCCAAGTGCAATTGGGGTTAATAATGGTCTAATAAAGGAAAGCCCTTCTCAAAGAGTATCCCAGAGTGAGGATTAGCTAGACACCTAAGCTACATTTAACACTAAATACCAGTTTGTAATTTCAGAAAAAACATGACCTAGGAAAATACCATCTATCCCACTAAGGATCCCCAAACCTATTCTTTCTTTCCTCACATATGCCAAGAGGTAATTGCCACCTTACCACCAAAACAGCTCCTTTTATCTATGGCTATTTCTGATTCATATCGTGGGTGCCTTATCTGCTGCATGTCTTCAGATCAATGTAGGTGATAACTGCTGAGTGTCACAAAGCTTAAGTCCTTTTTCTGGACCTGTGCCCAAATGCACGAATATCTGAGGTTTAGATAATTTGAGATTAAYTGCCTCTCAATTCAGGGCGTATGGTTTGTATTTTCTACAAATTAGTTCACTGAATACACTTGTAAATAAGGGTCATATCCTAATATACAGCATTAAGGTATTCCTGGATTCCTGGGAACTCCAAGCCCCAAAATCCTGAAATGAAGCTTCTGCATCTCAAAAGCCAAGCATAAGTTATGGTACATTGATCATAAGAACATAATTGTGAGATTATTGTGAGATTCTGAGATTGATCATAAGATCATAAGATTATAAGAACAAGGCCCAGATTTAAGGAAAGTGGTAATTCCGTGTGTCCAAAGCAAATCAAGCACAATCCAAGTATCTGGAGGATTGTATTGAGACATGGAAACACTCCCAAGCAGAGTATGTGACTTGTGGAAACGCTGGTCAGGGTGCCCTATTCTGAGTACACCGCTCAGTTCCAGGGAGCATCACAACTACTTGTAATCCTGAGCAAAACCCTCACTATTGGATGCTGGCAGAATTTGCACCTCTAAAACACCGAGGAGATTAGCACATTGACAAGGAAGGTTAAATGCTGCAAAACACATTTTATTTGTCAAATACAAGCTTTTAGAGTTTCAGGAAGGGAAAAAAAAACCCAACAAGTTAAACTGGAATTAGACATATTTGGCAGTTTAGAAATGCTTTCAGTTACAGCTGAGACCTTCAACTTTGCCTATAAATGAAACACTTAAATAACGATCAGTTACACAACCTGCTTACAATCAGCAGCTTATCTCACAGAACCTCTAGTAACAAATTTTCTTCGTGGCACCCGCCAGTGTTGATCATCTTTGTCTCCTCTGACTGTCAATGGCTCTTTTAAGGGCTTCATCTGGCACAAGATGTGATTTTTTTACATCAGTGTGGCTACAACCAATTTTAGGGCAGCTGTTAAAAAGAAAAGAGAGGCTCCAGTAAATCAGAAGAATTATATTTGTCAGATACACGTTTTTATAGAACATCTGCTGCTTTATTGGTTCTATTGGAACTATCAGCTCCTTGTTACCTCTTTTCCTCTTCACAAGCTCTCTGTGGGGAAAAATAAATCTGTTTAGGCAAACAGGTGGGACTCAACAGCTCACATGAGAAACAGAGCCCTTGCCTGGGGATCCCTGCCAGGCTTCATGCACACGAGCTGCCTGCAGTAGCGGGACTATCGCCGTGTGGAAATCCTTCTATGTGGCTCTCCCTCTGCTTCTTACTTTCTTTACTTGCTTTACAAGTGGCTGCTTCTTACTTTATTGATCTGCAGAAGATAAATATAGCACAGGTAAATAGGGAAGCTGATTTCTAAGGAAAAAGATAAACCGGGATGATGCCTGCAAAGGCCCATGGGTGAAACAGTGGAAGATCTAGCTGGAGTCAACGAACTGAGAAAGGGCAGGAAGGAGAGACAGGATCAAATTAGCAGCCTCTAAATGAGGATCAAATACAAAATGGCTTACACCTACTTAAGACAGTCAGATAAAGACAGATTAYATGAAAGGTGAAAGATATTCATGGACCAGAGGTCATTTTCCTTTGGCAGAGGCCCAGACATGCATAGTTGATACCCACAGCCAGGAATCACGCTTTTCCGGCATTTTTTTCCCATCTTAGGACTAACTTTTGCCTGAGTTGCTGCGTTTAGTCAGTACTCATCGCTTTTATACCATATTTGCCTACAGCCTGCTGTGTTTGTCATGGGTAAATCACTTGATTGCTCCGCGCCTCAATTTTTCCATCTCTCACCTTACTAGAACAATGACACAACAGGAGGACGGTAATTACTTGCAAGATTAATGAATAACAAGTGCTCAGAGGGCCTCCCATAAAGCTTCTTCTGCAGGCATAAAGTACTAGCGTGCTCTTCCAGGCAGCGGAAAGCAGTGGGCAATCTGAGATAAGCAGGAATTGCCTCCAGGGATCCATTAGCAAGTCTGTCCGYGTGGGAAGGGCTGGCTGTGCGGAGGGAGGCCGTGGATGAGCGGATACTGGGCCAGCAGACTGCCAAACACCCGAGAGATGCAATGGACACGTGTAGAGCTGCTTACAGGCACGCTGGTGTGAGCAAAGAGCAGCTCTGTCATGGGAGGGCGGTGGCTCTGGGATGAGGGCYGAGGGGATCCTGCTCTCCTGGGAAACGGTGGCTGGAAGGCCGGCCCGTAGCGACACGAACAGAGCAATTGACTCCAATGGGGAACTCAGGGCATTAAACAGCAGCCTCTGTAGCTCTGCCACGGGAGGGCGGTGCCTCAGGCGTGAGGATCCTGCTCTCCTGGGAAACGGTGGCTGGAAGGCCGGCCCCTAGCGACACGAACAGAATGGTTGACTCRAATGGGGAGCTCGTTGTGTTTCAACAGCAGCCTCTGCAGCTCCGCCATGGGAGGCGGTGACTCCGGGGTAGGGGCCGAGGGGATTCCGCTGTCTCCAGAGCTTTCCCTCAGGTAGCGGCGGCTGGAAGGCCGGCCCGCAGCGACACGAGCAGAGCGGTTGACTCGAATGAGGAACTCGGTGCCTACGCTGGCCTGACTCCCACCACGGCCCACTATGGTTTTCCAAAGCCTGACTGCATTTTCACGCAACAGGTTAAAATTAGAGCTGGTCAAGTACGATTTTCCAGAGAAAAGTCAAGCAATCTGTCCAAATTTAGTTAGTGTTACTGCAGTGCCTGCTCTTCTCTGCCGTTCTGGAATAAACTGCTGTAAAATGCTAAGGCTGCAAGCTAGAAACCCAAAATTAAGAACCGCAAGGATTCAGACTGCACAAATAAACTTCAGTTTGGCTATACTGTAGCTTTGGGAGATGGATGTTATACGGCTTTCATGGCTTTTTACTCTATGTTCTCACCATGTAATTTCTTTAAGGGTAAAATAAAATCCACTTACCTTACCCTACGAATTTATTGGCAGTGGTCAAACGTTTGATCCACCACCACAATATTCAATACTATGACATCTTTCCAACGGATTTAACATCAGAAAGAATTATTTAGATATAGCTAGCCTAAATCCAGTTCCTGATTCCAAGAAGTACACTCTGCAATAGCTTTAGGCTGYTACGCACCAGCTCCCTAGCTAGTCCATGACTTTTAAGTTTCAAACCCAATCCACAGCTATGAAGATCTTGTTTATATACGGAAGGAAAAAACAAATGTGAAATTGATAATAGCAGTGCTGAGGACATAACACTTAGCCTAATCTTGCTCAAAAAAGAGCTTGAGCCTTTATTTTATTTTATTTTATTTTATTTTATTTTATTTTAATTTAATTTAATTTTAATTTTATTTTATTTTTCTGAGGTGAAAATCAAAACCATCCCAAAATTGAAACTTACCAGGGAGAATGCTCAGGTGTAATAATTCAACTTTCACATATTTTCAATCAACAAAATATGTCCTAAGTAGAAAGTGGCAGGCTGCTTTTGTGTTGTAAAGTAAGAATTATTTTACTGCTTTGTAGGAGAAACTACACAACCTGGTCTAATGACACGCTGTGCTTTTTAAAGATTATCATTGTTTTTAATATTTTTCAATTCCAATTGTATTGGAATACAATTGCAGAAGACAGTGCACACAGCAGAGATGTTTTTTTCATTAACTTTAAGGCTTGCTAAATACACAGTGGGAACAAAAGGAGCAACTAAGTTTTACAAAGCTCAAGTTCCTCTCTGTTGTTCATGGCTACATAAAGTCTCTTTGATTCTGTTGTGCAGACACCACGAATAACTGTGACTTCCCCGCACGCTTCCTGAATATATCCTTGCACATTGTTTTCATAAAAAAAAAAAGAGAAAAAAAAAGGAAAGAAAAAGATCCTTCATGTGCAGAGCACTAATAGGAAGCCTGTGACTTGGGCAGACACTGAAGTATTACTTCCTGTAGCCCTGCCAATCCAAATACATTTCCTAGAACAAGTGGAATAGAATTCCACTTACACAGCAAAGCAAATAGCTTTTCCACACATTCTTATTAACTTACCAAACTTTCTTCTTTTGCTGATTTCGAGTCTGGATAATTTTTAGAATGGCATCTTCTTCATAAACATGACCACAGACTTTGTTTCGAACTGGCTTCTTCATTTCCATCTGTAATCAATAAAGCTGTAATTAAATGAACTGATAATGCTCATGAAAATGCTTCATACAAGATTTTTACAGAAAGCAGCAAGAAAACTGTCTGCCACCCATCCAAATTGTGGGATCAGGTCTAGCATGGTAAACTGTATGCAGGTTTGTTTTGATTTTAGGCAGCACTGCTTCTCTCTGATGAGGATCAAAATTTATAGTGCCTKATCTTCAATAAGAATTACAGACTTSTAACAAAAAAATCTAGTGAGGAATAACAAATAACGATTTCTCAATGTATTACAGTAGCAGGGATAGCATACCTGGGTAATGGGACAGATAAAGTTCACCTGACTCTGAGTCACAGCTATGTCTTCATCGATTTGTTCAATGCTTTCATTACCATCACCTGATTGAAGGCGAACTGTAATGGAAAACAATGCAAATTTCATTCACTGTGTAATATATATATAGTCAACAAGCAAATAAAATCCAGCATCGGCCAAACATTTTCTCATAGTGATACTAAGATGCCACAATATGTTTGGGTACCACTCCCTTAAAAAGATACTGCAAAAACATACCATAACGTGGTTTCTGTTTGAAAAGGTGGATTTTTAAAAGTCAACCTCTTTTTGCAGAGGAAGGGGAGCTAATACCAGCCAATACTAGAAAGGAATGAAAGAAAAGAAAGTAAGCTGGCCAGCATACATGTAAAGTTTTTGGTTTTCTTGTTCAAGTTCACCAAAAAGAACAGTTTTGGCCGACCTGTCCCCAAGATCAGTTTGTGTTTGAGCATCACAAAGGGACTCACTATAAAGCCTGTATAAATACACAGCATATATTTTTAGAGGAATTTGTATTATTTACCATAATGCATCACCAAGTCATGCCACTATATTTTAACAAGATTGTAATTAGTGAAATCAGCCTGAGAACAAAAGCCAAGAATGTGTCATTTGAGAGATACGATAGAAACATTTTTGAAATAGCCTAATGCAGGAAGGGCAGAACAAAATACTACAGTCTCCCAGAATCCACTTGCTGGCTCTACGCCAGGGAATGCCTTGACCTTGAGGAGAAACAAGTCCTTACCTTTAACAGGATCAGAAGGAAAAGAACCCACGGGTACACCATGAAGAAACTAATTAGTGCTACATTGGAACAGTTAAGGAGGATACTTACTACTAAGTATAACCTTAATAGAGGTACACGTCCTGTTTCATCTTTTGCTTTTTTCTCTGTCATTGTGAATGTCGGCTTTTAGTTGAATCTTACCTTGTGATAACCTGAGGCTTAACACCTGCCATAACCTTCCATTCCTTTGGGGTAATTCTGCAATGTTTTTGCAGCACCCAGTACCCTGGAGCACATTCTTCAAAGCATCCCAAACTCAACAAAATATTTCTCGCTCCAGCTTCCCAGGCTAGTTTCCAAGGCAGCAACACAGGAATCAAAGAGGATGAAATCATTCAGTGGCCAAGAGTAGCTCCGCTAGCCAACAAGGTTCTGAGAAGCACATTTGAACACTGAGGATTTAGAACTGCTACGTGACTTGCCTTCTTTAGAGTGCCTGTTTTGGCCACCTTTGCTGCAGCTTCTGTTCTTTGTTGGCAGCTGGGCTTTGCCTCTCCGCGTCCCTGTTACTTGGTCCTTTGCTTTTGTTAAGGACCAGCATTCCCTAACTCATGGCCAACCCTGCGTGCCAACACAGTGTCATCACTCCAGGTTCTCTTCCCGTGCAAGCACAGTCTGTATGACACCCAACCTAGACTCCAAGCACGCTGTCCCATGAACAAACACATCTCTGGTTCAGGTACCCTGGTCATTCGTCCTCCAGCCATCATCGCACCAGGTCACCTCTGGATATGCTGATCTTCTTTCTTTGCACCTTGCTTTCCACCCTAGCAGAGCCTGCTCTTCTTTCCATTTTAACATAAAACGGTTTTTCAAGCATTCAGGATGATTCTGACCCTAGCTATAGATACTACCTACAGAAACTTACTCAAGCAAGTATCAACGGTATCCCTGTTTCTAGCAAACGTCTTTGCTAAAATGGCCTCACTCAACAAAGTATGGGGCATGGTCAGGGGAAGAGGAGCTCAAATATCAAGTTTCAACCATAACTTTATGGTTTTTAACCAACAAGAATATTTTCCTTCCTTTACCAGGTACTGACCCTCCAAGAAAAGTAAACACTTGCAAATCAGAAGGAAAGTGGGCACAATTTAGGAATTGCAATGGTACAGAGATCTGAAAAAGATCTGCATCTGTTACCAAGCTTAGGAAAGGAAAACCTGCCACCTATTATTCTTGGATTGCCACCTGCCACCTATTATTCTGTGCAGAAGTGCAGTTTTTAAGTGAAGCTTTTGAAATACACAGCCATGGGTGATATCCCATTTAGTCAATGAGGCTAAAGAGTATCCCAAATACCAGTTAAGTGCAAGCTTCCATATGGGCTGCTGTATTTAAATACCATATTGGTTTTCTTTTCAGTGAATAATGCCAACAAAAAGCAAGAGATTGTGATTTTTTCTTAAATCCCTGTATCTGCAGTCTTTGGCATACTGTGGCTCTAATATCTCCTTTTGACAATAACTGGCAACTTACACTTTTGTATCCTTTGTACTTTGTTCCAGCTCAGGAACCTGGCATGTTCTTCCAGTGCCCCGGTGCCTTATGTCTAGCAATGAAGTCAAAACACAGTCATGCTACCAGATCTAGGCTAGATGATTGATTACAGAGGATCATTTTTATGTCAGCAATAATTAGATACCAAGGAAGCGGAGGAAAGTTTTAAAATATGCAKTTTATACCTGTGTTTTTACTTGTAAATCTAAGCACTCCAAGTTAATCATGTTAATGGCCTCTCTTGCAAGAGTGTCTACCTCACTAAGAACCTTCTGATTTCACTAGGGGGTCACCACTTCATTCATCACTTCAGGATGTTTTTACTTAGCAAAAATGCAAGAATTTAGGAAGGTACATYGAAGCATCCAATGTTTAACCTACAGAAGACTGAGAGGAGATCTCATCAGTGTGTAGGGGAGAATATGATCAACCTGGGGGGAGAATGAAGGGAGGAAACGGCCAAATTCTTCTTGGTGGTGGCCAGTGACAGGACAATGGGCAATGGGTACAAGTTGAAACACAGGCAGTTCCATCTCCATGTGAGGGAAGAGGAACTTCTTTCCTGTGAGGGTGCCAGAGCCCTGGAACAGGCTGCCCAGGGAGGCTGTGGAGTCTCCTTCTCCGGGGATCTTCCAAACCCACCTGGATGCCGCCCTGTGCCCCGTGCTCTGGGTGTCCCTGCTGGACTAGATGCTCTCTGGAGGTCCCTTCCAACCTCAGCCGTTCTGTGATTCTGTGATCCAAGTTCCAAAATACTACCCTGGACTGGGATTGGGGCTTGATTCCCCCCACAAATGTCTCAAGTCTCTAAAGTATTTGGGATACATCATAGTCTGGGCTACTTTTCCCTTTTACCGTGGAGGTGATTCAGATGCCTGTTTGCTGTTGGCTGACAATACACTGAGGTTCAGCCCCATTCCGTTTAAGTGAGACATATGAATTTGCATGAATTAAAACCTTCTGTTTGTGCAAGCTTGTTTAAGTGCTTCATGTTGAATTTAATTTGCAATAAATTTGCATGCAGTCTACCAGGGTAGGGTCCTGCTTTCAAGGGGTTATCATGGCACCATTATTTTAAATATTTCCTTTTCACAAGCAGTGAAAATTTTTAACAATTTATATGCAAGACTGGGGTGTTGCAAGTGATACCTCTAACATGTCAATAGCAAATTAGCATAAATGATATAAACCACCCACAGATTTGTTGTTATTGCTTGGTGTTCTAGATTACAGGAGGAGAGGGGAAAATAACTTCTTCAGTTACTGTAAATTTTGCGGAGATTACACTGGAGGAATAGACACACATACTCCCTGACCTGGTCAACAGGACAGATGCTCTGAACTACAAATCTGTTCACAGAGATCACTATCAGATTTTTTTTTTAAAGTCAAAAGATTTATTTACCAAATGAACTGTATAAAAGTTTGGATGATCTAATTTTTAAGTCTTAACTACTCTACATGAAGAAGAAATAAAAATGCCAGGTCATACCTGCTTCAGCTAGATCAGGTTACATTTTTCTAGAATAGGTTTTCTTGGCAAATTAAGATGAGATGAAGGAAACACTTGAATTACTGTTGCTTAAATTCCAACATTACCTTAAGTAAAAGAAATACATACATCTATTTTTAAATTTTAAGGTACTATATTTTAAGAGTCTTATGTGGAAGATTCAAAACCGATAGACCAGGCTGCTCTGCTGCCATTCAGAGGGACTTGGACAAGGGGGATCCTGGCCTCCATCAGGAGGATGTTKCCAGCAGGTGGAKRGAGGGGATCCTGCCCCTCTCCTCAGYTCTGGTGAGGCAGCACCTGGAGCACTGTGTGCAGTTCTGGGCTCCCCTGGACAAGAGGGACGTGGAGCTTCTAGAGAGGGTCCAGCAAAGGGTAACTAAAATGATTAGGGGACAGAAGCATCTCTCCTATAAGGAGATGCTCAGAGAGCTACATCTCTTCACCTTGGAGAAGACTGGGGGAGGTTGTATCCGTGTGTACACGTATCTGAAGGAAGTTTGTCAAAACGATGGGACCAGACTCTTGGTGGTGGCCAGTGATAGGACAAGATGCAAGGAGGACAAACCGAAACACAGGGAGCTCCATCTGAACATGCAGAAAAACTTCTTTACTGTGAGGCTGATTGAGTGTCACAACAGGCTGCCTGGGAAGGTTGTGGAGTCTCCTGTCTTGGAGATATCCAAAAGCCGTTCGGGCACAATTCTGTGCCACATGCTCCAGGTGACCCTGCTTGAGCCCTGGCCTCGGACTAGATGATCTCCAGAGGTCTCTTCCAAACCCAACCATTCTGCAATTCTGTGAGCCTTAAGAGATTCCAGTTTTCCACCCAGCCTCGCAACTAGAATCTGTTATGAGTATTAGTAACACATTTTTTATCTGGCTATCTCAGCAAGGATGTGTATAGCTAATGAGGGCCCACTACTGCACTAAAACTGCATTCTCACAGAGGTATCTATTTTTGGTAACTCATCCTAATGAATTTTGCAACTGCCAACTGTTTTTGACTTATTCAATTTTAATTAAAAGCTGGTAGTACTTTATATCTCTATCACTTTCATCTCCTGATAAAAAAAGTGACTAATATACCCTAGCGAAGTTTTTTACCGGATCTGCTGAGAGACTGGGAAATGTGAAGCCAACTTTTAAAAATGAGAAATCCACAGTACAGAGACATTAGCTGCTATATTAGAGCTCTATTAAGCAYTGATAGTATACATATTTAAAAAGAATACAGATCCTCCCTGTTGTCATTCTCATTCCTGGGACAGATGCAA